CTTTTCAATATGATTCCATTCGCTGCCAAAATCCAGAACCTGAATATGATATGCCATAATATACAAAGTTAAGCTGTTCACCGCATCAATCGCTCCAACCATAGCCCATATGCCATTACATACACCACGTTGGTCGAATATGGAAAGTTTCCAAATTAAATTTAACGGAAAAAACATAACTCAAATTTTCAATGCACTGACTGGCATCAGTTGAAATCATATATTCTCTGTGACTGGCTTAGCACTTGTTTCTGAGGGCCCAGTCACTGGAGATCCATGATTTTACATGTGCCTTGAAAAAAGTACAAATACAGTACATTAGATTGACATCCTTCATCAACAAACGATAGCAGGATTTAACACCCACTGAGCCTCTAGAAACAGCGATGCCTCTCATAGCAGTCAATATGACTATAATGTTTGATAAATGAATAAAGCACAGTAGATCCTACTTCCACCATGATCTATTATTAAATTTCATTACTTTGTCTAGAGTAGACAAAGCTTACTTCTGTTATAGTAGAAAAAACATATCAAACAATCACGTAGTCCTTAAAAGTGGGCCTTCTTTGTCCCATTTGCAGGCCAACAAATTAGATTCCAATGGCATTTGAAAGATAATACTAATTTAGAACTTCCATCAGAACAAAAGGGCTTTAACATGTCTTTTTGTGGGAAAATAATTAAAGTTGTCGAATCTAATATAGGGGTTGCAGTCATTTAAAAAAATTGTCACTTTTCGGCCCTTTTAAATGGTGATTTATCATTTCAATTTTTAGAGAATACCTTTCACAGCTCATTTTATGTATGTTATTACCAAAGAAAAGAAGAAGTCAGTCCCTCACTCAATAGTGTCTGACAGTGAAATCTAGAAAGTATATTTAAAACATTTCTTGTCTGTGTATTGACTTCAGCTAGATTTCTTATAGTTTGATAGGTTGAGAAGATATTGAAACCTGCCGCTCGTAATCAACAAGTCACCACATTTATGTAAATTGAACGAATCAATCAACGTCAAAGATTGATTTATCATTGCCCTTTTTTACTTAAAGGTATTACAAAGTTTTGGGAAATTTTGAAAAATGGGTGGATAGTGATTCTTTACAATTTTGATATATTTGGATGCCCCTGTGGATGTATTAAAAGCACTAGAAATTTTAGCCCCTAAAACACTTTTGATTTCGAGAAAAATTGAATATAAGGATTTACCGGTGCTCCCGGTAAATGTTGATAAATTTCAAATAGCTCCTACTGCCGTACAATGGTAGCTGCGACCATGAAAATCTCAGAATATGTAGTTGTGGTATATAATTTCCGAACGGGAATAGCTAATCGGCCGATTTTAGTCAACTTCGAAACATTGTTTTACAGCTTAATTAATATATTGACCTTGAGAGGGAGCTATACAACATAAAGTATCTATTATTTACAATTTCACAACTTTAGAGTCGATTTCGACCGCGACAACGATCAGTGAATATTGTAGGATCGCATATGCTTCCACTATGTTCATTTGAACCAAATTCACGACCCCATACCAAAACTTTGTATTACCTTTAACATTTTATGTACCTGCATTCATATCTATCAAGAATTAACGCTGTTCACCGCATCCGTCGCTCCAACCATAGCCCATATGCCAATACACCATGTTGATCAAATATGGAAATATTAAAAATTAGCACTTGTTTCTGAGGGACCAGTTACTGAAGATCCATAATTTTACATGTGCCTCGCAAAAAGTACAATGTAAATTTGATTTATATCCTCCATCATGAAATGAAAAAACTAAGCATGTAAGCTATAAAGAAATACATCATGAATCAATTACTAATTCACACATTAATTTTGTCCAAAATACACACACAAATGCACACACACGCACACGCACACACACACACACACACACCACACACACTGTGCTTGCAAAGAGAGTTGCCCATTCCTCAGCGGCTGTGTTTTTTCTATTAGGGGGTGATTATATTGATGTTATTGTTTATTTGGAATATTATTATATTCAACAAAAATCGAAAACATTAATTCGACAATTATTAAAGATATAAAATTGAGTAAAATTTTAAAGATAAGAATCAATACAATTATACTAATAAATACAAATAATAGCTTCTATTTGAGACTTTTATAAAAGAACAGGAAGTCCTGCTTCCACAATGATTTCGTATTACATTTCCTCTAGTATAGACAAAGCATATACTCCTGTTATTGTGAGAAAAAATAGATCATACAAACATTATAGTCATTACAAAAAGAAAAGAACCTAAATCGTAACATAAATTACAATTTTTCATTGGAATAAAATAAGACGAGAGATGTATGGTTCCCCTCCCCTTCTAGCTTGTCTCAAAAATTCCCCTTTTCCATCCCCCTTTGAAAAAAATATTTAAAAAAAATATTATACCTAACACAGATCGACACATACATTATGAATTGAAATTATTGTTCAGCAACACGCTGGTGGATAACAGTTGTAAAATCGCAATTAATATGACCTCAGAACACGTTGTTATTTTGTTTTTTTGAAAATTTTGAATGGTTTGATAGATTGAGTATATATCGAAGCCTGCCGTTCGTAACCGACAAGTCACCACATTCATGTAAAATTGAACCAATCAATCAATGTCAAACAATAAAAATAATAATAGTAATAATACATTTATATAGCGCAGAAACTATCCAACATTAAGTATATTTTTTTATTATTTATTTATTTATTTATTTATTTATGCATGTTCACAATTTCACAATTCATTGAAGTTAACATCACATGAAAAATTAATATAATATAACAAATCATTTTCAATTTTACATGGATCATGGATGAATAGGTGTAGAAAAAGAATATAACATTGTTTTATCAAAGACAAGTTGCAACTTATATACAGTTTGAAGAATGAACACACAAAGGTGATGAAACATAAGCAAATAGAGCTTGAATCGTTAAAACACCTTTCAAATATATAATATATGACAAAAGAAAATTCCTAAAGTTTTGTAGTGAACTATTTACACTATTTACAAAGTTAAAAAAGAAAGAAAAAAAAAATTTTTTTTTTTTCGTTAAGCCTAGTAACAAAATTATGTTAGATTTAATTAGAACTGATAAATAGATTATAATGTAAGTAATATCTTACATCTGTGAAATGATAATACATTTGAGTGCTCTTTTAAAGGAGTTTGTTGATTTTATATTTCGAATATCATTAGGTAAAGAATTCCATACATCTGGACCTCTGTGTCTGATTGATTTCTGGGCTAATGTAGTGTGAGGATTGACCACATGTAAATTCGATGACTGCCTTGTTGAATACGAATGAACCATGTTATTAGGTTGAAACATTGAAGATAATGACGTAGGTAATAATTTGATATTAAAACGGAACATAAATATGGCAATTTGGAGGAAGTTAATATCATCAATCTTTTAAAGCATTTCAGTTTAACAAATAGTGGGGTAGCATGGTCACGATAATCAGCTCGGGTACATATGCGTACAGCTTTCTTTTGCAGCAGAAGAATATTATTAGTCACACACTTGGATGTTGCCCACAAAATATTACAATAAGAGATGTGTGGTAAAATTAGACTATTATATAGCATAAGTAATATTCTATCAGAAACAAAACATTTTATTCTATACAGTACGCCAATATTTCTGGAGATTGTGTAACATATTGTACAATATTTTATGTATAACTAATTTGGATTTTAACGTACTAAATACCTACAACGTAATGTCAATGTTTTAGACATGTCCGCTTACAATGATTTTCTGAGTCATTTGTTCAATGTCTTACATGAGACTTTTCGATTTTCAAAGGAGCAATATTTTCTTGAAATCCTGCGTACGTGGTGTAACAATGTGTTTTACATGGTCGCTCCAGTCAAGTTTTTCATTGATATAGACACCAAGGAATTTCGTACATGTCTTTCTCTCTAAAGAAATATCATCTAGTTTAATATTAAGAGCAAGGTTGTCATTAGATTTTCTTCCTCTAAAATGAATATAATTTGTTTTAAGAACATTTATATTATGATTATATTATTATTACATTTATATTATTCTACTGTGATAAACATCAGCAAGACGCAACGAACCGGACACCTACCCCCTGGACATCCTCCCCCCGGACAACCACCCTAGTCAACTACCCCCTGGACAACTACCCCTTAGGGCAACCACCCTCTAGGACGACTACCCCCGGTACAACTACCCTCTCGGAACACTACCCCACAGATAACCACCCACTAGGACAACTACCCCCGGACAACTACCCCTAGGATAGTTGTCCGGGGGGTAGTTGTTCTAGAGGGTGGTTGTCGTAGGGGGTAGTTGTCCAGGGGGTAGTTGTCTGGGAGTAGGTGTGGTTCTTACTCTCTTCACCCTCTGTCTGTCTCTCTTTCTTTCCCTTCCCCTCTCTCTCTCTCTCTCTCTCAATTGTTTTTGTTTTGTTGATCATGTCTACTTATTTTACAATATCACCAGTTTCATGTTTGATGTCTTTGGATAATTACGTCTGTGAATTAACAGATCGAAGAAACCATTATCATCATCATCAACAGAACGTAATGAGATAGACCAATAGACGGGTATTAATATAGTGTCTGAAGGGGTTTGTATTTAACTGAACATATATAGATCTCCCTGCCTCATCTGTTTCTCTCTCTCTCTCTCTCTCTTATCATCTATACAGACTTGCTTCAATCTCTATCTCTCTCTGTTTATATGCCTGCTTCATGTTCATTCTTTTCTCCCCCTCTTTCTCCCTCTCTCTCTCTCTCTCTCTCTCTCATATCCTCTTCCTCTCATATCCTCTTCTATATAAGATTTCCACAATCTCTCCCTCTACCTCTCTGATATGCCTGCTCCCTGTCTATCTCTCCCTATCTCGTTCTCTCTCTCTCTCTTTCTCTCTCTCCCTTCTATTTTGCATAGTTATCCCTCTCACGACATGAACTAAAGTAAATTACCCGAGGAGGAATTATTACGTCATTCTATTTAATGAGACCGTTTTGTGCACAGTGTGTCAGAGAATAAAGCAGCTGATTAAAAATTTGACAATTTACAATCGGAACATACTGTTTAGATCATTGATTTCTATTAATGTATTCACCTCAATGGTTTCCACTGCACGTGTTCCTCTATAGTACATATGAAGCACATGTACAAGATTGTACTCTTCAATGCATTATATCAAGCAATCAAATTTCCAGTGAATTTACTAACCAGTTGTCAACTCAAAACTATATTGGGCTACATGTAGGCATATTGATTCCTTACTTTTGAAACGAGATTCAAAATGGATTATATATATTTATTGATTTTTTTAATATTTTAGAGGCAATGTTATTAATTCTTTGGGGTTAGGATTTAAGGTCAGTGATGACTGATCATCGATGATTTTTTTTTTCTCGCATCAATTTGAAAAAAGTCTCAACAAACAAAGACGACGTCTGACCACAGGCAAATGAAAAAGATCCAGCTAGTATGCTTTTCGAACTTCTCGATGCGCTTATTTCCCATTAACTGAAATAAAGAAAAGGGAAAATATAAAGATTTATTAAACATTACAAAAAATTATAATGTATTTGTTTTTTGTATCCTGACAATGTGCATGCACCGATTGCATTTCAGAAACAGAAGTGTTATATGATATGGTGTGCTAGCGGGATATTGAAGAGGTGTATATGTTCTCTTAAAGCAGTGTAGAGTTGGGTACAATTTTTAAATTAAGAGGTCAAAATGGGAAGATGCATGTTTGTTGGATGAAATGTACCCAACATTACCCATTAGGCGGTGTCACACAGAAAAATCCCTTATAAAATCCCTTGAAAAATCCTTTCAAGGGAGAATTTTCTTGCTTCGTTAGAGGATTTTTAATGGGATAATTGATGACAGACAGCAATTATGAGGATAACTAAAATCCGGATAACTAAAATCCGGATTTTTGGCCTCTGTGTGACACCGCCTAGTGTTGGTCAATTCTTTCCCAACAAACATGCATGGTTCCTTTCTTCCCCTCTTATGAGTAAAAGTTTACCCAACCCTTTAACAATTATGAAGATACACATATGGGACAAGTATGGATTGGATAATTCTCTCAATAATTAGTAATTTTAAGTTATTATAAATGACTCCGTGCCCTCTATACGAAAAGGAAATCCTAAAACATAGGAAGTTACCATGTTGTGCTTAGTTGTTTAATCATCGTATTGTTAAATCATCAATCAAATGACAACGAGGGTTGTTCGAGACTAACTTGAAGGAAATAAACATGCCCTTCATAATATTATTATAAAAAAATGTTTATACAAAGTCTTTTGACCGAAATTATGCGCACGAAAAAACTTCTTGTGTCATGTACTCATGTTTGTCGAGTACTCCTTAATTTGTAGTCTTTAAAACAACAAACTAATTTATAATTACAATGCCGGTGATCATGACCATCGTGAATATTACCAATAAAATTGTTTATGCCTGTACTTTTAATTTGTAGTCTTTAAAACAACACACCAGGGGCGAATCTACGGGGAGGGGTTTAGGGTGTTTACCCCCCCCCCCTTGGGCTGCCAAGTGAAAATGTGATGTGCCTAGAAAAACAAATACCTGAAACCATTTTCTGTTTATCGACCCATTGTTTATAATACTCGCCATACCACCCAAAACCGTCTACAAATACCATACCCTAAAACAGAAATTCATTATTTAATAAGTTGCCATTGTCCGTCCCAAATTGCAAGTCACTAAACAATTTCAAGAAACAATGTAAACAGTTCTCTAACATGCTTTAACAACAAACAAAAAACACACGAGAATCTGGCCTACTTGGGGGGGGGGGGGTCTCGCCGTGCATCCCACGTGCGCCTCATGTACATATAGTTTATTCAAATGTATAAATGTTTTTATATATTGAGTTATATTGATGTTTCAATTTATGTTTTGTTTTTATGTTTTATGTTATTGTTTGTATCATGTGGAGGGCTCCGTTGGAAAGCAGTTTCTTTTAACTGAATCGGACTACCCTCCACTGTTTTATCAATTGACAACAAAAACCCTGAATAAATAAATAAATAAATATTTCCAGACCCAGTATTAGTAGATATTAGTAGATGCCAGGAAACATCACTTATGGGGGTTCAAAATAACCACACAAAAAATCGCATCGCCGCTTTGCGGCTCGTGGACGATGCTCCACATCGTCATTGGGTCACCCCTCCCCCCTGGCAAAAACGCTAGATCCGCCCCTGCACACTAAATTATAATTGCAATGCCGGTGATCATGACCATTGTAAATATTTATTTGTTGTTTATGCCTGTACTGCACTTCCACGAGTCATATATCAGCGTTCAAAGTATTGCTATTTTTATTAACTTAATCATTTGTTAAAAATGGCATTGATCCTTTTGAAGGCCTATCATTAATTGCTTTTCATAATGAGTTGGTTTAGAAAACCTCTATCAGGCTAAATCTGATACGATTTGTGCTTCTCTGTATAAAGTGTTTGCAAAAGAAGACCTGATATGTATATCAGGTCTTCTTTTGCATACACAATACTGTAATAACTAGGTAAAGAGATAATTTGTATCATTAGTATTGGATATTTTGTTGTCAAAGTAAAAGTTGTTGAGCTTGAGTTTGAAAAGGTAGGGAATATAAAATATTTGTTATATATCAAAAGCTTGCAAGTTGCATGTCACTTTCTAAGAATTTAAAAGTTATAGCAGTTATCATTTAAGTTACCATTTATGTTACAGAGGCCTTACTTCATCATTTGGTTGGAGATGGCATTTAGTTGGAGATGGTGCACTATCTAGTTGGTCTAATTCTAGTCTCGGTGTCTCGCTAGGAGTCTCTCCTCAAGAGCTCAAGAGGGGTGAGTCATTGTAATAGTAAAGAGAACTATACAAAAAGGCAATTTATATTTCTGTATTCATGATTACTTTATATGCATATTTGGGCAAATTATTGTTATACCTTGCTTATTGCATGTGGATGTTACAATGTAACTGCAAACCATATATGGAAAGGTATCCAAAATGTACAGTATTTCTATGGTGTGGGGAAAATGCCAAGTAGGGCAATAGTTATTATTGATGTATCTATTCCTATGAATGATCATATAGTTTTGCCGATGTTTAATATGTAAAAGAAACAAACACTAATCTGTTTGCCTGTTTCTTTTGTCTTATTAAGGGCTGATCCATCCTCAAAATAAATACCACATAAAACTCTGAATGACTTCGTCGTGTGTGTTCCTTGACTTTTCTCATTTTCATGACTATGTGCTAGAGGTGTCGAATTGAAAAATTGAGAGGTGGATTATTTTCATTCATAGAAGGAGCATTCTTTTTCTTATGCATTTTTCTTTAGATTTTGAAATATTGTTCATACCATTTGCACCCTCACATATCATTCTTTGATGTTGAGTCAAGGGGGGAGTACATACAGCCTCCTCCTCTACTGCAACACAAACATAAAAGTTATCGAAACAATAATAAATCAATAAATCAAATCAAATCAAACAAAACTTGGTTGGTAATTAAAGTTATCACGAAATATCTTCGGCCAGGATAAGAAGTGATAAAAAGTATCTTTCTAAAAGTGCAAACTTTCTACAAATCTGGTCGGATTATGCAAAACATCATTGCCATGTTGGCACGTTTCAATAGGTGACCGTACAGGCATACGACTATTGGAATTGCTTTAAAGGTTGCGTTGTTTTGTAATTGTATTCGTTTAGTTGGTTAATAACATTATAAATAAATTGCTTACTGCTGATCTGGTTCTTCTCGACACTCAACGCATTGGAATCGTCGATCTCATCTTCCTGGACTGAAACACTTGCTGCCACGGCCAAGGCAATCAGAAAGTAGAGAGCAATCATGGTTTTTGACGCCATTTTCAATGTCTAAGGAAATGGAATAAACATGTAATACATTTTGATCATTTAGTCAAAGATACGGTGACATTGCAACACAATTAAGAATTTCAGCATAGAATAGTGACGTACTGAAACTTTCCTTTTACCACTCATCAAGAATGAACAGAAATCCGAAATCGAACAATATTAAGTTATAACGGAAACTGAATGAACAAATTGCGCCAAAAATAACGGGCTTCGAGACGGAAATACGGGAATTGCGGTTTACTGTGATAAATGCAAGGCGGAAGGCTTTAGAATTTCTACATTCAATCATATTCTCCGCTTTCTGAAACCAAACAACTGAGAATGTTTTGAATGCCGTATTGAAAGACGATGTTCCTGTACTGCCCCTTTCTGCACTGATGTCAGTGCATGCACTTAACGGCTTATCCCCACCCTCCTTGGGAATACGATGATAAAGATTCAACACATAGTTTCGTTTCCAAAGAATAAAAGTAGGAGAATGTAATGTCTTTAAAATGCTATCATGACACGGAAAATATTAAGAAATTGAATTCAATGAATGATATGACAATAGTGCTTGACATACTACCTTGTTACATTACTCATACTTACGTAAAGCTAATCATAGTGAGCTCTGGTATTTTGAGAGGAAATTACTACGATTTATTCTGGATTGTTTATCCTGCAGCTAATTTTCTCATCTTCATATGCTCATTTCTCAGCCACTATAAATTTTCTACCAAAATTATTTTACACATGTAATTTATTTGTAATATTGAACATCCTGCGGATTAGTTTCGTTAGATTCTGTGAGAATTTCTATATTTACCAGAACTCAAGATTATCTTTAAACTTACCTTCCCAAATTATTGATTACTTTCAAAATACTAACTGTTTCAAAATCAGGCTTGGGTATGAGCCATTATAATTTGAGCATGTTTATTTGGTAAAATGTACCCTAAATTGGGTAAACAAATATTACCTAGTGTTGGTAGTATTCCCAACAAACATGTATGTTTTTTGTAACCTCCTATGTAACATTTTACCCAATTTGCTGAAAGGGGAAGTCCACCCTGATATTGAGTTGGTTTTTATGAAATCCGAAGAATGAGAGGAACGAGTCAGTGAAAGTTTAAGTATAAACAGATTAAGAATAAGAAAGTTATGAGTTTTTGAAGATGCAATCAATCAAACACTGTGCAAATTGGCAACTCTGTGACATGTGTTGTGATGTCATCACCCATTTGCCCTGTACTAAAAGACTTTAAAAGCTTATAAGTTCCATCAAGAAATGTTCAATCATACATTCACCCTTAATATAATCATTGCAAATATGTTTAATACATCCAGAAATGTATGAACCAACCTATGCTGTCATCAATAACTGAGAAAATGAAAGCTCATGACATTTTCTGTACAGACCAAATTAGAGAGAGAGGGGGTCGCGAGATACGTTACAGTGTTGCCATTTTTAGTTTCAGTGATGACAATTTTAGTAAGGTAGATATAAGTCAGTGTGAGTAATGAGGATTAATGCCTTTATACCAAAGGACACCTAGCGCCCTTTGGTGATGCGAACCCGGGAACTCCCTGTTACGAGATCACTGGGCCATCTCTCCGATCACTCATCAGAGTTGCTTAAAGGTAATACAAAGTTTTGGGAAATTTTGGAAATTGGGTGGATAGTGATTCTTTACAATTTTGATGCCCTTGTGGATGTATTCAAAGCACTAGAAAATTTCGCTCCTAAAACACTTCTGTTTTTGAGAAAAATTGAATATAAAAATTTACCGGTGCTCCCGTTAAATTTTGATGAATTTCAAATAGCACCTACGGCCGTACAATGGTAGCTGAGACCATGAAATTCTCAGTATAATGTAGTTGTGATATATTATTTCCAAACGGGAATAGCTAATCGGTCGATTTTAGTCAAGAAACATTGTTTTATTGCTTAATTAATATCAGTCTTGAGAGGGAGCTATACAACATAAAGAGTTTATTATTTACAATTTCATCACTTTAGACTCGATTTCAACCGCGACTACGATCACTGAATATTGTAGGATCGCATATGCTTCCAATATGTTCATTTGAACCAAATTCATGACCCCATACCGAAACTTTGTATTACCTTTAAGCAAAGCTCCTAATTAATGTGCACTAAAAGCCCGCTGCACAAGAGGCGAAGAAAATAATGTCTGGAAAATGCAGACATACGCTCTACAACTGAATTTACACTAATTATTCCCAGATCCAGACCCTCAACTATACCGAAAAACGTTTTACAGTGGCTACTTCGAAAACACCCCCCTTTCCATCAGAGAATTAACCTGTCTCACCACTTTCAAAAGATCTCTTTAAAAATATTTCTCTACTCCGTAATGAAGTATGATTTACCTATTTATGAGTTTTAGGCGTATTCTTTTTGTTTAAGCGCTCCTAAATAATCGATATCATTATCAATACAATTACAAACTAACGCAATCAGAAAGACGTCTCATGTGCAACAGGCATAACGTAAAGGCTGTAGGGCCTACCTGATTTCGATGCGGTATTCGAGCAGAAGTCTGTGAGATGATATACTTTCTCGTAGCTTGATGTGACGGAGTGTCTCTATCCAGCTTTCTGTTGAAGTACTGTCTAGATAGCTTCTAGTTTTATAGAATATCACAGCCTGCCATGATCATCTGCTCGTAACCAACAAGTCACCGCATAATTGAATATAGTATTCAACAACATGGTGGTGGATAACACTTAAACAAATTGTAATAAATATGACCTCAGAACATATTGTTTGATTATTTTTTATCCCAACTTGTAACTTTTGCATCTCCCTTTTTTAATTTCTTAACTGTGTATTTACTAGAGCTAGATTTCGTATTGTTTGATAGATTGAGTAGATATCGAAGCCTGCCGTTCATAATTCAATATACCTTCATTCGTATCCATCATGAATGAACATGTAGTAGTTATCTGTCAACTAAGATTTATCGTGTACAACTGTGAATTGCATCCTTTTCAATATGATTCAATTCGGTGAAAATATTCAGAATCTGAATATAAAACATCAAAATATTACACCAACGCTCTTAACCGCATATATCACTCCAACTACCAATCCTACCATAGCTAATATGCCCATCAACCAGGTTGATCAAATATAGAAGGTTTTCAAATGAAATTCGAAAAAAAAAAAGTTTATTGCACTGAGAAGCTTCAGTTGAAATCATAAATTCTCTGTGACTGGGTCAGCACTAGTTTCTGAGGTTTTTCTGTTAGTTTTTACAGGTGTGTTGAAAAGAGAGCGTGGCACATTTTTATTTATATCCTTCATTAAGAAAAGAAAAACTAAGAAGGTAAACTATGACAAATAACATCAGAAATCAAGTATCAATTCACACCTTTGTCCAAATTGATAGATTGAGTAGATATCGAAGCCTGCCGTTCGTAACCGACGATTGAACGAATCAATCAATGTCAAAGAATTGATTCATCATCGCTCTATAAATAATCACTTTACATTTTAACATACCTGCATTCGTATCCTTCACGAATGATCATATAGTAGGTATCTTAAATGTCCACTTTGATTAATTACCTCCCAACTTATGTCTCCCTGTTTAATACTAATAAAATGCTCACTTTGTCTCAATCAAAGCCCAAGATTATATTCATATTTTGTTTTTGCAAGAAAGAGAGAGGGAATATATTAATTGACAATTGTCGTGTAAAAACAAGACCTGCATCTTTTTCAATATGATTAAATTCGCTGCCAATATTCAGAATCTGAATATGGTAAATCCACCTAATAGTACACCAACGCTGTTAACCACATCCATTGTTCCAACCATAAACCATATGCCCATACAGCATTTTTGATCAATCATGGCAAGTTTCGAAATGAAATGTATATCCCATGCACTAAGAGGCTTCAGTTGAAATTATAAATTCTTTGTGACTGGCTTAGCGCTAGTTTCTAAAAGACCAGTCACCGAAGATCCATCACTTTACAGGTACCTCGAAAACAGTGCATGGTACATTTGATTTATATCCTTCATCAAGAAATGAAAACCTAAACATGTAAACTATAGAGAAATACCTCAGAAATCAAGTATCAATTCACACCTTTGTCCAAAATACACACAATACACACAAATACACAAACCCACGCACACACACACACGCACGCACACACACACACGCACACATACACACACAGACGCACACTAACATACACACACATTGTGCTTGAGAACACAGTTGTCCATTCCACACTTGCTGAGGTTTTTTTAGTAGGGGGTCATTTTATGTTTTTGATTTGGAATATATTTTTTTCCTCTCAACAAACGAAATCTAAAAGATTAATTGCAGAATTAGGATACAAAATAGTGCAAAATTATATTAAACAGGACTATATACTATTTTCCTTATAACCTCATCAATACAATACTTGAAAGTAACAGCTTATATTTGATACATATATAAAGGCACAGTGGGCCTTACTTCAAAAGTGATGTCTTATTAGGTTTCCTTTAGAATAGACAAAGCATACTTCTGTTATTCTTAGAGTGTTTTTGTAGGAATAAAATGAGACAAGAAATGTATGGTTCTCCTCCTCCTGTTAGCTTGTTTCACACAGACACACCCTCCCCTACCCCCCCCCCCCCACCCACCCCTTCCCTGTACAAAAAAAGCTTTCACAGATCGACACGCACATTTAACATTTAACATAATGTTTTAAAACATGCTGGTGGATAAAACCTTCAAAAAATCCAAGAAGCCTGACCTCAGAACACATTGTTTGATTATTTTTTATTCAAACTTTTAATCATTGTCATTGTCATCAGTCTGGTATTTCCATTTTTGTTTAATTTCTAGTCTGTGTATTACCTACAGCTAGATTTCGTATTGTTTGATAACTCGAGTAGATATCTAAGCCGGCCGTTCTCACGGTAACTGACAAGTCATCACGTTCAAGTGAAATTGAAGGAATCAATCAACGTCAAAGAATTGATTTATCATCGCTCTTTAATTATTATTTCACATTTTAATGTAGGCTAACTGTATTATTATGAATATTATCACGAATGAACACTGAATGGGTTGCTTAAATGTTTGTTTGGAATAGTTTCCTCCCCATTTCTTTCTCCCTGTATAATATTGATAATATGTTCAATTTTTCTTGATCAAGGCAAAATATTATTTTCATATTTTCTTCATGCAAGAGAGAGAGAGAGAGAGAGAGAGAGATTATGTTAACTGAGAATTATCGCGTGCACCTATGAATTGCATCCTTTTCAATATGATTCCATTCGCTGCCAATATCCAGAACCTGAATATGATAATTCCACATAATATACCAAGTTACGCTGTTCACCGCATCAATCGCTCCAACCATAGCCTATATGCCAATACATACACCACGTTGGTCTTATATGGAAAGTTTCCAAACGAAATTTAAAGGAAAAAACATAAATCAACTTTTCAATGCACTGACAGGCTTCAGTTGAAATCATAAATTCTTTGTGACTGGCTTAGCACTTGTTTCTAAGGGACCAGTCACTGAAGATCCATGATTTTACATTTGCCTTGAAAAAAGTGCAAATACAGTCGTTTGATTGACATCCTTCATCAACAAACGATATCAGGATTTAACACCAACTGAGCCTCTGGAAACAGCGATGCCTCTCATAGCAGTCAATTTGACTATAATGTTTGATAAATGTATAAAAGCACAGTAGATCCTACTTCCACCATGATCTATTATTACATTTCATTACATTGTCTAGAGTAGACAAAGCTTACTTCTGTTATAGTAGAAAAAAAAAATCAAACAATCATGTAGTCCTTAAAAGTAGGCCTACTTTATCCCATTTGCAGGCCAAAAAATAAAAAGATTAAATTCCAATGGCATTTGAAAGATAATACTAATTTAGAACTTCCATCAAAACAAAAAGGCTTTAACATGTCTTTGTGTGGGAAAATAACGACCCCTAAGTTGTCGAATCTAATTTAGGGGTTGCAGTCATTTTGAAAGAGTGTCACTTCTCGGCCCTTTTAAATGGTGATTTAACATTTCAATTTTTAGAGAGTACACTTTACAGCTCATTTTATGTATGTTATTACCAAAGAAAAGAAGAAGTCAGTCAGTCACTCAATAGTGTCTGACAGTGAAATCTAAAAAGTATATTTAACAACTTTCTTGTCTGTGTATTATTAACTTCAGCTAGATTTCTTATAGTTTGATAGATTGAGAAGATATTGAAACCTGCCGTTCATAATCACCAAGTCACCACATTTATGTAACATTGAACAATTCAATCAACGTCAAAGAATTGATTCATCATTGCTCTTTAATTACTTCACATTTTAATGTACCTGCATTCGTATCTATCAAGAATTAACGCTGTTCACCGCATTCGTCGCTCCAACCATAGCCCATATGCCCATATGAATGAAATGTTTCAACCCACTTGTCATAGTTATTCCCTCTGCAATTCCGGTAACTTTGTTCTCCCTAAACCTAGAACTGAATATTGTGGCAGAACTACCCAATATAGAAGCTCAATTCGATATTATACTCCTCCTCTTTCCACTAAATTACTTCAAACTGTTTACACATTCAAAAAGTATTTAAGAAATATTATTCCAGACTTCTTGTAGCTGTTTAGGTACGTATCTTTTTTAAATAAAAAAATAAAAATTACTTGCACTGTGAAAAGGTTGGGCAATATTTTGTCAACACTTTGCCCAACGTTGTGCCAATAGTCAACCCAACCATCTATTGGGCAATATTTTGCCCAGTGGTATTGGTAAACGTAAGTACCCTACTTCACACGTGCATAATTTGGGCAAAGATATGACCCTTCAACTGCCCGACTACGGTAGCCCACTTGTTGGGAAAAATTTTGACCAACTGTTGGGCAAAATACGAAAATATTGCCCAATAGATGGTTGGGTTGACTATTGGCAAAGTGTTGGAAAATATTGCCCAACCTTTTCACAGTGTGTCTAGCTTTCTGTTTGGTATATATCGTAAATATTGTTCTCCTGTTTCTTGTTTTACTCGAATTTGGTCTTATCATTATTGTAAGTTCTTAGTTTGCTGTAAGTTTTCTTTACTTCTGTACTATTTATTTTCATGTGTTTTATGTATATAGGGACCCCTCTGTAAACCAGCATTGTTATGCTAACAACGCTGAGTAGGGCCATCCCTCCGTCTTCCTTTTTTATTTTAAGTGTGTCTTTATGATTGTAAATATATATATGTTGATGTTTTTTCTAAATGACGGAAAATAAATACAAATACAAATATACAATGTTGATCAAATATGGAAGGATTACAAAATGAAATTTGAAAGGGAAAAAAAATTACCATGCACTGACAGGCTGCATTTGAAATCATAAATTCTTTGTGACTGGCTTAGCACTTGTTTCTGAGGGACCAGTCACTGAAGATCCATGATTTTACATGTGCCTTGAAAAAGTGCAAATACAGTACATTTGATTGACATCCTTCATCAACAAACGATAGCAGGATTAAACACCCACTGAGCCCCTAGAAACAGCGATGCCTCTCATAGCAGTCAATTTGACTATAATGTTTGATAAATGTATAAAAGCACAGTAGATCCTACTTCCACCATGATCTATTATTACATTTCATTACAT